AGCAATGTGACGGTTAAATAAACGGTTTAATCGACCAATGTTGCATGATCAATCGACTTGGGCAGTATTTCTAGCAATAATGAATTTTTGATATGATATTTACAAAAATAAGAATAATCGTTAAGAAAAGTAAAAAGTTCCGACGGAACAGGTTTGTGCCAACGAGTGTGCAAGCATTACCTTTCTCTGTCGCTCGTTCTTGTTTGAGGGACGCGGGTGCGTGTTCAACCAGACAGGCGGTTTACGGTTGAAATCAGGACCGTATCTCAGTTTCTGTGACCTGTTCTCTTGAAATTTAAATAGAATTTACACAATTTATTAATTGTGAACTGCAACGAAACAGCATAACGCTTCTGAAAACATTTATACGGGGGACGCAAACGTAAAGATATGTGTCGGTATAAATATTAATCCCTACCAATCGCGTTAGGAAGACAGTGGCGTTAGTTAAGATCCTGCTGGGATTGAAATACATGCATTTAATTAGACATCTCCAGATATTTTGCTGTATGGCAATACGTTTCTTTTTAATTCTGAACACAGGTTCTTTACGTGGTGCGAGTAAAGGAATAATATCTTTGATCTTTTCGTGTGGTTGTATACACGTACATTTTAATTTCTACAATTGCTTTGATACAAGTATGTGGAATATTGCTTGGATATTTGAAATATTCGGTGATACATAATAGAAATAAAAGTTGGTGCATCTTTTCATAGAATGCGAATTTTCAACAGGCTCGAAACACAAGCACGCAAACAGGCACGCGCTCGCGCTCGCGCGCACACATCTGTACAGTTGGGGATTCGTTATAAGCTACATGCGTATCAGGTGTTGTAACTTGCAACGCTTAAGCGGTATCAAGAAACTTTTCTAATCATAGGTATAAGTACTTTGAAATTTTGGGCAACGCGAAACGTTGGATAGATCGTACGTATAAATGAATTGCGGAGAATATGAAATTGAAGGGAAAAGCAAGAAAGAAGCGAGAGAATGGGAAATAAATGAATGAATGAAAGAAATGGCTGGGGAAAAGGAAAGAAAAAGAAGTATATGCATAATTGTTGAAAGAGGGCGAGAAGGTGAGAGAGAGCAGTAGGGGACCGAGAATTGTAGCGACGAGTCTGGCTAAGGCGGGGCTCGCATATACCGCGCGAAGAGAGGTAAGCGGTTAAATCGGATTGGATTGGGGCGCAACTAGCGAGCAAGCGGACGTGGAAACTGGTTTGGTTTTGTGGGGCTTGCACCACTGCACCGCTCTTTCAGTGAGACAGTCCAATTTATGCATTGCGGCTATGTAGGGACTACACGATATCAAAACGCTGCGCCCGGGCTTACTTCACTTACCATCATCATCGTTGCAATATTATCAGAACTTTGCAAGTGCCTACAAGATCAAATTCACTGCAGTACATCTCTGGTTATACAACACAGTGATTATATTTTGTTACGCGCATTGGAAAAGAGTGGTGTAAAATCAAACGCGAAAGTGAAGCAAGATACACGGAACACGTCCGAGTTTACGAAAATATTGGTGAATTTCAGAATATGAATTTTATACCAGTTGGAAGATTGTGACCGTTTTGTGACGTACCTGGTGCTTCGTTATAGAATTTGCTCAAAATTCATACGGAAAAGGCTTCAAATCTCGTACAGGTACATCATGTTTATACGTATCATTTGCAATTTCGTTGCTTATTTCTTAACGGCCATTTAAATATTATGTTCGTGTGATTGCATTTAAAAGAGGTTATGGTTTGTCGCGCCGACACAGTTGTCACTCGTACAGATAACCTTCCGTCATTCTTTTCCCTTTCGCTCTATATAAATATCGAAATATTTCGATATTTATTTGTTAGTTCGGAGTAATACGAATCGAACATCTCGTACACAGAAAGTGCATTGCGCATCTGTGTTACAGGACAGTACCGTAATGCTCTCAATTATTACTGATACGAAGTAGATTGTATTAGAACTTCGTACTTGCATACATCGAATTGGTTTTATTATACGAGTCGATTTTCGAAGAGGAATAGTGGTAGGCAGGCGAATTACTTGTTATATCTCATTTGATACGTCTTCTGTTGATGCGAACACATTTTCAAGTCATTTTCAAGTCATTTTCAAGTGATTTTGGGAACAGAACAGCAAACGGTTGCTGTAACTTTTCTTTGTTACATAAATTTCTATTATTTCTATTGTACAAGTCGGTTAAAATCTAAGGGAATAGTGGGAGAACACGAGTATTATTGAATAATAACAACGCGCATATATGCACATACTTGCGCGTGCTGCCAATATTTTTCAGACAATACCGTGAAATTGAATCGGTTATTGAAAAAGGACATTCCGAGAAAAAGAGAGAGTTTCGAAAGTTGGTGTGGTTAGGACAATAAAAATTTCAGTACGATACAATATACGATGTAGATATACAATATACGATGTACGGTAAACGATTGACAATAGACAATAGACGGTAAACGATACTCCGTACCTACTTATATAGGTATTATTTAGATTCGAGATTCATTACTTCGTGTTGGTGCATACTGCACGCGATCAACTTTTTCTTCTCAGTTTTTGCACGAGCCAATCAGAATTTGCGAATGCGCCTCAAAAGAAAATGGCTAACTCGTGTCGCTGGGTTCGAGCGTATCTTTGCGCGTCGTTTTGTGAACCCCGTAGTCTGCAATCACGTTGACGTCTATCGCCATTTCCTCGCAGGAGGATTCTCTTCATTTTCTTTCTAAGGTATATACTACTTTCTAGCTTTCAAGTCTTGGCCATTTTTCAATCGGTCCACCTCTCTAACGATGCGTTTTTATGAGCGAGTGTTAATTTGTCGATTAAAACGACATGTGTTGATGTTATCGTGAGTGTAAAAGTGCATCAACGTATCTCGAAGAAATATGGATGCAGTTTCGTTGCCGGCCGGCGAAAATAATTCGCAAACAGTTTCAGTGCAATTTTTCTTGGGACACGAATGATGCAATCAAACGCCCAATGCGTTATTTACAAATTTCCTTTTCTAACGAATCGCTGTATCTCGAAATATCCTTTTCGATACGAACGTTTTTTTTTTCTTTTCTTTCTCGTTCTCGTTCTCGTTCTTGTTCTCGTACTCGTACTCTTTTTCTTTTTCTTTTTCTTTTTCTTTTTCTTTGTTTCCCGTATTTTTTCTTCATTTCGTCCAAGTCTAGTGGTGTCTAGTAGGTAGAAATACCATCGCATCGGTAGAAGATACGTTGTGCCGTGCAAATCTTATTGCATATTAGTGAATATCTCGATATTTTCGAGCCACGGCGCGGCACACTCTTGAACGCGGGAAATTATACGTTTGCTGCGTTACGTGGTACGAAAGGCAGATGGTGTTCAGTTTAAGTTTCGTGGGAGTTTATTTCCTGTTCTTTGAACGCTTCACTTGTTCTTCGAACCGGTCTAAAAAATTTGTTTAATTTCACCATTTCCTTTCGATACATCCGTGTGTTTTGTTCTATTGTTATACATTGAATTCTTTCGTTTCGTATCGTCTTTTATGATACGTATCTAACCAAGACCATTTGCTGAAAAATATACTTGAATTGTGAAAGGGTTAAAAATATTTCGGGCATCGTTGAATAGTTCGACAAACATTAATATTTTCATGGTTTGTTATAATTTAAAAGGTAGTCGTTTTCGACCACTAGTTGCAACAATTCAGAATTGTTTCCTTTTACACTTCTTTGTACAAGGTTGCATATATGTTTCTGCAAACAACATTACTAGTTTGTAATTTTTCTAAACAAGTGTACTGTAACGTAATATATATTGTGGTTAAATAATATTTTCGGAAATTTCAATGAAGCAAGCAAGAATTCTTTGCAACCTCATATTTGACGTGAAATTTGAATTTTGTAGCTATGGCGGAAGGGAATGGGGAAATAAAAATGGAAGAAAAACAGCCTAAGGAAGAAATGGAATATGTGGAAAGAACAGAAGACTTTTCAAAACTGATCCAATACGGTTTGGATGAAAAAGTAGCCGCTAAATTAGATGAAATTTATAAAACTGGAAAATTAGCTCACGTGGATTTGGATGAAAGAGCATTGGATGCTCTAAAGGAATTTCCCGTTGATGGCGCAGTGAAAGTACTCACTCAGTTTTTGGAGTCTAATTTAGAGCATGTGTCCAACAAATCAGCATATTTATGTGGCGTAATGAAAACCTATAGGCAAAAAAGTAGAGCAGGTCAAGGTACTGGTACTGGTACAAGTACAACTCCTAAAGCTCCAGATGAGGATAAGATAAAGGTAGCAATTATATATCACGTATATTTTTGAAGCTGTTTTGAAGAAGATCCAAGAGGGAAGATATTAAAGTGAATTACAACATTTCAGATGATCCTCGAACGAACCGGCTATCCTTTGGATGTAACTACAGGACAAAGAAAATATGGAGGACCACCTCCGAATTGGGAAGGTCCCACACCTGGAACTGGTTGCGAGGTAAATAGAATGAAACTGCGAATAGGAGCAATTCGATTTCTAGATTTACCATGAAATTATTTTGATTCTAGGTATTTTGTGGAAAAATCCCAAAAGATATGTATGAAGACGAATTAATTCCTTTGTTTGAAAAATGTGGAAAAATTTGGGATTTGAGACTAATGATGGATCCAATGGCAGGTTGCAACAGAGGATATGCATTTATCACTTTTACTGACAGAGAAGCAGCACAGCAAGCGGTCAGAGAGGTATGTAGACATTTATTAATTTCCATATCAGTGCATAGGTATATGTTTGTGAAGCGTATAAATTCTGATATATCCTACTTAACGATATCTTGGTATGGATAAATTGACTCCCTTTACTTTTGTTTCTACAACATATAAACACACTACAAAATTGTTATTGCTACTAGAATATATGGTCTTTCGAAATGTTTAAATGTAACTTACAACTAAATTCCTTTTTTTTTCTTGTTGGTTGTCTTTTTCTCTTCTGTCTGTTCCGTGGCTTGCAACATGTATCATTTTATTTTATATTTATCTTAGCGCTTCACAATA